ACTCTGCTGCGGTCTGCCACCTGTGGAGCATGCATAGTTGGTACATTATAATGTAAATTCTCTGCAGGCAATTCTGCACAGTCACAATTCGTCTCTTGAGCTGTCTCAGACCTACTGGGAGGTAACTCCAGCGCAGACACAATACTCACTGAAGAGATCACGTCCACGGCTGCCTCGGGAACGCTTTGGTGTTCCTCTGGAAGGTCTTGGTGTTTCTGCCTGCACAGACCTATCCCTTCAACCTGGACCTTAGTTTTAAATTAACATTTTAACCTTAATCCTAAAGAAAGGTAAAAGTAAACCTACGAGCATGCTACAAAATGGCAGTGACTCTGAAACCGTCGGGCAGGCCTCACTGCTGGCCTATAGAGCGACTCTAGGTTGGATATGGAAAATAAATATGGGATTTTGTTGACTTCTGCTTCAGAAAAATGAATCTTCAAGCCATCCTTATTGGTAAGGATTGATGACAATTGTGGAGAGTGAAGCATGAACATTTTGAAGTAGTGCATTCAAGAGAAGATTTAAGAATAATTGCAATAGGGACTGATCAGTCTTTATGTGTTCGGTGTAGTAATGGAAAAAATAGAGCGTACGAAGAGCTGATGAACTGCGAGACGTATCTCTGCAAAACATCTCTGTTTGTCTCTGAATGCACTTAAGTTTGAAAACTCTTTGATCCCAAAGTCTTAATTTCTGGATAACTCCAGCATCAGTCACGGGGCTCATCTTTTATTAAAAGCAGAATGTTTTTTTACTTGGAAAGAGTTGAAACAGTAGTGAAAAAAACTGTCCGGATCATTTCTAGGAATTTTGTTGTAAAAACACAACTTAAGCAATAGAATATGTGGAGCAAAATGGTGTTTGGTAACAGCTCTTTATGAGAAGAGATGTCGAGATAATCCATCATTAATGTCGTCCTGAAGGAAGCTGGTGATAAAAATGAGAACAGTCACCTTCAATGAAATCAAAGCCAATGTGTTTTTTTTTTTTTTTCGTGTGACGTCCAAACATTTAATTTGCTGGATCCAGACTTGCTTCCTTTTGGCCGGCTGTTCTAATGTTGAGCCATCTGCCGCATGACCCACGTCATCAGGCCAGCTCACATCTGCTGGATGTGTAAAAAAAAAAGTGGAGAGACAGTCTCTTGGATAAATTGTTCATCTATTGTGGGGTGTAGTCCATATGCATGTTCTGTATAAGCCACATCAAAGTCAGCGGCAGTCTTTCACTCAGCTCCACCTCACTGACAAAGCATGACAGATATGCTGCTGGTTCTCCACCACGGGAAACCCTGCACTACGGACAGAACATAAACACCCAAATTTCTGAGTGACCCCGAATCAAAGGCAGACTTACACTACACTGACTGATGTGTTGTAATGAAGCATAGTTGTGGGTGGTAAGCCTGGGAAGGTGAAACCATTCATGGATTGTGTGATCTATTAACAAGAAGCAGACACAGTGAAGCACAGTGAAACTGGTTTACACTGTCTTCAATTACACAAAAGTTTAAACCCACAACGGCTTTGATGGTAATCCAAAAATGTTAATCCAAATTGTTCTTCACACAAGACGTAAAATGTTGTAGCTACAGATTACCGTACTGCTCGGGTGTAGTTGTGCCAATTTATTTGATTTTGAACCTGTGTCATTTCAGTATAATGCACTCTTCATCGCATCTGGCACAACTCCAGTGCATATCAAGAAAAACATGGCAAATAGTTAAAAACAACAACAAAAGAAAACACTGATTGCCTCATTTTAGGTTTTAACTTGGTGGTTACATTGACTTTAATGTTGGTGAAGAAAAACTAATGTGTGTGTGAAAACTGATGTTTCACTAATGTGAAACATCAGTTTTCTCCATCTAAACATTTGTGTCACGGGTAAAGTGACGTAGCAACAAAACTAATAAGCATAAAACCAAAAAATGGCCACGCAAGAGACGTTAGGTTTGGGAGTTTGGGTTAATTAAAAACAGTTTAGCTCTGATTATGCTTGCAATTGCCAGTAATTGCTACAACACATACTTCAGGAAGTAAGAAAACCTATGTTGTGTCCTTGCTGATTTCACCAAGACAATCCTAAACCATATACTGCACAGATTTTTGCAGAATTACTTAGTTGTAAATGCGTGTGGCTGCTCAACTGGCCTTCCCACAGTAGTTTTGGTATATTACCAAACTCAAAATATCGCAAGTGAGACCAGGGATGTTGAGTAGCTGAAATCTTGTATGAAGTAAAATAATAATGAAAAAAAAAAGATTTTATTTTACAGATGACAATAGTTTGTCACGTCAGTTCATGGATGCCAAAACACGCTAGCATCCACGTTTGCTTCCCTGCAGTCAGCTTCCTTCTGTTTGCTGACACACATCTGGCACAACTGGAAAATGCTTGACTTTCAAGAAAATTAATTTTTTGATCACAAAAGCCGGTGAACAGTGCGTCCAGCAACAACAAATGGTAATCTTAAGTCTTAATCAGTCTAGTCTGGAGTATCTAAGACCTAAAATGTGTGTTTACCTAACTGGCCACAGCTATTACACTGTCTAGTTGCCATGAATTCTATTGAAACTGGGGCATCTGCAAAATCAGATTGCCTCAGCCAGTGTAAACATGGCTATAATTTTACAGTTTTTATCAGTTTTTCTCCAGCTCCAAGTTGTTTGAAAGTGATGGAAGACCTTATCCAGTCTAGTGTGAATGGGTTCTAATTTCCACTATACACTTTTTAATCTTCCCTCAAGTTCAAAGTGCAAATCAGCTGTGCTTTGCTTTCACCGTTGTCACTCACAGGTGATATTTTCTATGCTGTGATTTTACAGACAGCTTAAATTCTTAAACATTTGAGAATCTGCCTCTGTTAAAGTATTAACACAGCAACATAACAGTCCAAATGTGGTTACCGTGTGGAGGCTCGGGTGATGATAGCGTGTCAGAACATAAGATAATCCCACGGGAAACTATTTCCTACTAAAAGAGCCAAGACAGCAATCACAGATTTTGGCCCAGGTTCTTTAGCCTGCTCTCCCCCCCCCCCCCCTCTGTGAATCCCAACTCAAATATTATTATTTTTTTAATATCTTTTTTTTCTTACACTTATCAGTGACATCCACTAACATGCAATATGCTCACACCGTCATGGACCAGAAGCTTTGCTGCCCGCAGTCTTCACATCACCTTCCCTCCAGCAGGATACCGTCACGTTTAATCTGCTGTGGTTTCTGCAGATGTTTCCACACTTATCAGCACTAGTGCATCAAAACGCCGTGTTCCTCCCCTCTGACGCTTCTGCAGACTATCATTTGAAGTGTCCTCTCTTTCCTGTTTGCATGTATTAAACTGATGACTGTGTCTGAAATGCCACAGACCAACCAAACCCATCTCTCTTTGCTCTGGTCCTCTGATTCACTGTCAGCCCATTTTGCCGTCTCTTTCGGGACTTTTTCAGCTGTTTCATCAGGAATAACGAAGCCAGACAAAGTCCAGCTGGGCACCACCCAGTGTTTGTGGAATAAATCAAAGTTTTTGCTCTGTGTATTTTTTTCCTTCCTTCCGTTCTTTCTTTCTTTCTTTCTTGCAATGGTTATTTGAACATAAGAACATAATCTTCCATTTATCCCACAAAGGACAAAAAAACTTCCCTGTGACAGAACTATTTAACTCAGTGCAAGTTTATGTTATGCAGACTTACTCCAATTAATTATCCAAACCTTGTTTCCCACATTAAACTTGTCTGAAAATGGATTGAGGTCTTTTCAGATGTGTTTCTGGTAAAAGCATCTGTCTGGTAAATCAGTGCACGCTCAGGTGACAACAGAGGCTAAAATAGTATCACCTCCGCATCTACAGTTACATCAGACAAGTCCAATACTTCCTCCCACTCCCCAGTTCAGTTGGTCGCCCATTGTCTCTGACAAAAGAACTTGACACTTTGAATTGGAGGCTGTGATGGATCGCTTTTGAGGTCAGAAGCCTTTACCAGTATTCTGGTTTCATCCCTGCCCAGCCAGGCTTCCAGCCTTCAATAGAAGCTTCCAGCTTGTGTGAAGACTAAAGTAGTATTAGGTGAGCTATTGTGTGCAAATGATTTTGATTGCTGGCAGCTATTTTTTTCTTCTTTTAATTTTGTGTTTGATTTACATGCACGTGGTTCACATCGGAAAGTTATCATGTTTAACGCTATAATCAATGATCATGACCAAGCACATCACATTATTTTATGCATGTAAAGTGCGCACAATAAGAGCAATACATCACCGAAATCACTACAATGAATCACTCCCTGAGTGAATTATTCACGTCTGCTCTACCTGCCTAAAACTGAAAGAAGCCATTGTACCAAGAAATACATTATCTAACCAACATGAATATAATTTATCCCCATGCAAGACTCGTAACAACAAAGGAGCCTCTATAATTCTTGCATCAGTAACCTTATCACCGTCGTCATCCCTTGCATCATGAGGGATGTCTTTCCCAGGGAGAAAACAATAGTTATCAGATTTTATTTTTAAATTCTACGTTATTCCGGAATGCTGGTTAACCCTAAACTGCTTTTTTTCTCTCTCTCTTTAACATTAGGCGGGGTAGTTTTTAAATTTTAAGCACAGGTGCAATTTTTTCCCCCAGACAGATAAATTAATTCTCTTTTTAAAGTAAAGCGTTCCACCTCACTTCCAAAAGAAAGCCTTTTTCTCCTTCTTTTTTGGACTCGCCAAAGTGACTTTTTCCCTTCCCGTTTCCTTTGCGTGATCGCAGTAAAAAAGGGTTAAGTGCTCAGTTAAAATACACAGTGTATAATTTTATAGCTTTTTCCCAACGGAGCTCCTGGTGCCGGTGTCCAGACGACAATGCGAGAGCAGCAGCGCAGCGCACAGATCAGTTTCATTCTTTGTCAGTTGTGAATAGGGGCGGAGGAAGCAAACTCATTAGAATCCTATAAAAAGAAAGTATCCGAGATCATAAAACAGCCGGCTACAGGACTAAGCGCTCACTCGCAGCCAGACTGAGGCACAGTGGAGACCTCTTGTCAAGTTTCTGTCTGACCCTCAGAGCATCGGCATTTTAACAGTTTAGGTTCATACAAAAAAAATAATTTTTTTTACTCGTGCACCTGGCTCCCCGTGTTTGTTTGTGTCGTTGCTTTTAAAAGAATCTTCAATGGCAGTCCTTTAAATTATTTGACCTTTTCAGGACCAGAAACTTGGCATCATCATCATCATCACCACTGTGTGTACTGCAGTCTGACAAGCGTGACGCATGGACACTGCCAGGGCGCACACGTCTCATTGAGAAACTTATTTTTCTTTTCTTTTCTACTAAATTATTTTTTTCCTTTTTCCATATATTTCAGTATTTTTTGAGGATGGTCGTCTCTGCTTGGAATAGATATTGTGTTGTAGTGTTTCTCGTCACTGCGCTCAGGACTGGGACATCCCAGGTATCAGAGGCGCGCCCGAAGGCGAATTCCATCAAACCCGGTCAGTTGGAAGAAATACCGACACCGGCAACCAACCGATCTGCAACAGTCACCAAGAAACACAACATCCAGGTAACTTCAGTTATTTCACTGTCTGAGAAAATATCAGCGGAGATGTCAGAGCACTTTTTGCCCTGTATTACTAAGAAGACAGTTTATGAAATGCAACAAAAACAATCGTAATAGCAAAAACTTTTCTTCCACGAGTTCCCCTTTTCCAATTTATGATTGCTGAGTGGGAAACATTTTCCTTTGCACAATTAAAGGGTAAAATAGTAATATACACCTTCAGAAAGCTGCGTCATGTGTGGATCGTTATTGGAAATTGGGAGGATTGGACCCCTCATAAATCCTAATTGCCTTTCAAACCTGACGCCACAGTCGGGTGCAGCACACTTCCACAGTAAATCATTAATGCCGTCAGAAAAGTGAGAAAAAGTTAACACTTGGGGTAATTTTCTGTCTGGATCCGCGTGTCATTAAAGCGGTCCAGGCGCTTGCTGGGATTATGAGATTCTGTGGGGCCACTCTTACCAACCACTTTATACCCATTCAAAGGGGTATCGATCCCCACTGTTTCAACAAAGTGCCGCATTTCTGTAGAGAGTGCTTGTGAGAGCAAATATGAGATTAAAAAAAACTGTGAACATCTAAACCTGTGGATTGGCCAGGAAAATTCACAATCCAACAAATAATAATTCCTGAGAGGTGGATGTTTAAATCAGCTTGGAAGGCAGGCGTGTATGTATAAAATAAGCATAGCAGATAGTGTGCGAGCAGTAGATGGCACTGCCACATCTCCAGGACACCCCTCCCCCCAGTGGTCTCACCTGCTTCGTTTGCATTTGGCCTGTACACCTTGCCTTTTTTTGATCGTCTTGCATATCAGTGAAATGCTTAGTTTTGAAAAAGGAGGCATCGAGCTGATACAGAAGAATTATGGAAAAGCTGCAGTGCCAGACCACAATTTTGAGCGCCTGCTTACTTTCATGCCTTTGCAATGGTTTGGAAGATTGGACCGAGGGAAAACAATATGTGTGTGCAGAAACCACCACACTGTTACAAAAGTATAATGTCATGGTGTGGTGGGTCCAAACCAGGATGGCTAATATCATTTATGAGGTTTTCCAGAGTGGTAAAGAAACAGCCGCAGCTCGGCCTTGGCGAAGACTTGTGGCTCGACGATAGTGAGTGAGCTGCACTGTCCTTCTGCCTCTCATCATGCAGTGGCTATCTGTAAATAGCTGTATTATATAGTGTAATAAATCAAAGTCTTGTTTGTGTTTCAGTAAAAATGTCCTGCACAATTAATTTAGAAGAGAACAACAGGATGCAGTTTTTGCAAGTTTTTGGGGTAAATCTGCAATATCTGTACCTTAGCTTGCACAATTACACACACACACACACACACACACACACACACACACACACACACACACACACACACACACACACACACACACACACACACACACACACACACAAAATCTCCATTATTGAGGCTTTTGGCATCCTATATTTCCATCTTTGAGGTGCCTCTCTACTTTCATATGTCAGTTTAGCACTCGGGTGAAGATTGGGGAAAAGGGCATGTGTCGGCTCAAGTTTTCTTTTGGCGTCAGTTTTAGGAGGAGACTTTGGCGCTGTTGTGTTATGAATGCATTGTAATACTGCTGAGTTTGCCACAACTGGTGAGGATAGTTAGCAAATTAGTGTTTGTGAAAGTTATGTGAAAGACAATCTGAACAATTTACCACTGTATCCATTTTTATTTTAAAATGCAGTTTTTCTTTAGTACTTCAGTTCACTTTTACATAGTTTAATACAGCTGTTTGGGGATCTGAAACTCACTCAAGGTTAACAATTATTCTGAAAATTACCAGGAATCTCCCCAAACGTTGGTTTTACATCACTTTGTAGAAGATTACTGGAATACAATGAGTGGCTGTAGCAGGAAACCAGGGTGTAATTTAGTTTTGTACCCATCAGATGATGGATATAAGAAATGTTGGTCAAAGCTTTTGGGTTAAAGGAAGCATTTGATAACGTAATGTGCTTTGATTTCCTGTAGCTGCTGACAAAGGTTGATGATAAGGGTGACATTAATCACGCACAAACCAGGAAAGGCGTTAGGAATTCCTGCGTGTACAGACGGGGCAAACAGCTGAGTGTTTTCCTTTTGTCTCGTCCCTTACACGTCAGCCTGACTGGAGTAAAACCGACAAAGCCAAAACCTCCAAGACCTTGACAGCCAGTGTTCGTGGGTGGCACTCTGGGCTTCTTGGAAGGGAACCAACAGAAATGGATAGCACGGGCAGGCAGCGCGCACCACTGTAACCTCTGAACCCACAAGGGAACCAACACTCTGGCGGCATTCGTGCATAACGTGCCTGTAAAACGGCAGCCGGTCAGTCGGCCTTAACTAGTTGCTTTATTGAATTCACCAGAGGGTTTACTTTTAACAAGCAATCTCCTGAGACTCTCTCTATTAAAATGTAGCCTTTCTCCCCGAGCCAAAAATGATTGTTCAAGAATCCTAATGAGCTGAGAAAGAGAGAAAAGATGTGACTGCTTATGTGTGTTTTAGTCTTCAGTTCTGCAGGTTTTCCAGCATGTGGGTCCCTCGGGTACCATGAGGCCCTTGAGCCGGAACCATTAGGGTTCTTGTGTGGAGACCACCTTAACTGTAACTCGACTTGTTAATGAGAGAAGAGACCCTGTGCACCTCTTATTTCACAAGATTACACCTTTTAAAGCAGCATACCTCCCAGATTACTATCGAGCACTTTTTCGCTTTCCCCCGATAGCCTTTGAAGACACCGCTCACGTACAGTGACTGTGAGCCTTGCTATGGGTGCAATGACTAAGATCAACTCAGAATGTATACTTAACTTAAGGAAGGCCTAGTTTTTAGAGACTCTGGATCCTACTGCTCAAAGGGATATGGTTATAAACACATGTGTTTTGAGTGATGAAAGAGGCCGAGTTGTGTCTGAGGACATGGTTTGTATGAGTGACTTGTGTGCAGTCTTCCCTATGTTATCTGATAGCGGCCGTCTGTGCTTTCAGGGCAAATGAAGTTTGTTTATTCAGTGACATCGTTTGTTTGACTCTTTAAGGCCGCTGCCACTCATTAACACCATTCACTGCCTCAGGTTATGAGCTGGAGCTCTGAAGGAGCACAAAAAGCAAAGAGGGCGGATGCCTAAGACAGTGCTTTAGCTTTGTTGCAACTTTTTTTTTTGTTCCAGGCAAAATAAGTGGAAGGAAATAACGCTAATTTCTTTAACTTAGTGTGTTTAAAAACTGTAAAAGATGCTAAAAATGATTTGGGTGGCAGAGGGATGTTATAGTCAATAGTTACATGAAAAAGAGAGACTTCACTAATGTCATGGTTCATAAAGGTGATCTTTGCCATTTGCAGCAGACTGCAGTTCTGCCTTATGTTTTATTAGTGTTTGCATTGGAGGTCAATATCACCGTTCCATTCAGCAGTGAGGTTTACAAGTGCTCCAAATGAAGCAATAAAATACATCATTTCTCCATGCCCTCATGTGCTATCTGATCTGATCTTAGAAAATGTTCAAAGTAGATGAAGAATTCAATTCACTTCTTTTTTTCTAATATACAGTTTTTGGCAAGTTTGAGCTTCATCGTCCAGATCACAAGAATAAAAACACAAGTCTGGGGGAACAATTGTAGCAATTTTATTTAAAAAAAACAAAAACAAAAACAAACAAAAAACAAACAAACCTGTCAGCTGATGTTGGCCCATTATTTTGTTGGCCCATCCAACCTCTTGTCTGTTATTCTCTCACATTACCTTTGAGGGGTTTTTTTTGCTTTTTTGTCAGTTGATCATAAAGAGCTGGAGTCTAAGGGCTTAAATTACCCTTCTGTTATGTTGTTCCACTGCTGCTTTCCAGCGTTCATACTGGTTCTTGGTTCTGCCTAGGTTCTAGACATAGAGGAGAGGAGACATTCTTGGTGTTATTTTTTTTTTATGCATTACCGGGCTCTTCCGTTGAATTATATCAGCACTTTGGAATGACTGTAGAGAGGTAAATAGGGGATCCAAAGACTGGCAGAGAGGGTTCAAAGCCCTGTATATCCTGCAGTAAATCCCTTGGAGATTGTTGCTCCCGCACATTTAAGGTTCCTCTTCAAAGCCGTAGAGCTTTACCAGCACGAGAGCAACACGAGACAGGGCCGGGGGCTTCCCTTATTGCCCTCCGTCTGTCTCTTCCTTTATCGTCTCACCAGCATACCATGAGAGGCTGCACAGTACAGAGTGCTCAACCCACTTCCTATGCAGGATCCAAGGCTCTTCTTTTATGTTGCTAGGCTGTCTAAGGAAAAATAAGGGAGCAACAGGGGAAAAAAAGCGATTTGAGATTAATAAGATGCATCCCAAAATGAAACCCTGTCCCTCAGATGTTGCAAAAGAGGCGTTTTAAAACATGACAAGATAAGGCAAGTTTATCAGCTGTGATTTAGGGGGCCGGCCTCGTATCATTGGGTTTCAAAGGATTGTCTTGCAGTTTGAGACATGATGGAAGAGGTGAGCCCCATTCCCACAGTGCCCCGTGTACTGTGATCGATGCAAACCTGCTAGCTCAGAAAGACAGATAGGTTTGAATGCAGGTAGTATGAAGTACTGCTGCACGTCTGGATCCATTTGTCTTCTTTAGATAACCAGAATTTTTTTCTTGTCAGGAGAGAAAAAGAAAACTTGAACTTCTGTTCAGTCCACATTTCCAGCAAATTCTTTTCTTGAGAGTCCACGGCAATGTCCGTATTTCTTTAAAAGAGGAGCTAGCAGAGAAACTGAACTCCACAGTTGAGCGGGAAAGTTTATTTCTCATTATAACAGCAGTAGTTTGTAAAAACCTGGGAGGAACAGTTTGGGGTTGTTTGTTTTGAGGAATCAATGCCGACTTAATGTGCGTTAAATAGAGAGGTGAAGCCAGGAGGTTATTAGTTCGGCTTAGTACAAAGACTGGGAGCTGGGAAAAGTCCATACTGTGTTTATTAATGAGCTTCAGAAGTGCTGACAGGGCGGGTTCGTATCTTAACAATCGATGAGGTGAAATTTTCAGCGTTTCCTCCTGCTTACGCACAAATATGACCTCTCCACATCCTGACAGCAGTTCTTAACCTTGTAGTAATTAAGAAATTTTGGGAATCCATAAAGCACCAAGGATTTGTTGCTTTCATCAGCAATGTTAATCATTTGCATTACGGGAATCTGTCATAATGATAGATGAGCGTTCAGCTGAATATTTCAGCTCATTTTTCTACGGCTACATCATTGCATCCATGTGTTTCCAGTCTGAGAAAGTCAGCATGGCAAACCTCCAGCAAGTCTAATCTTGTTCACTTTCTGAAGCTAAAGCACATGAGTAACAACTTTTAATGTGCTGAAATATTGATATTGTCGATAGCTGATTTAAACATGTGGTGTACATCGACGTCTGGAACGGCGCCCGCTCTTTTGGGGATGGTAGACCTCTCTGTACTGACCTTCATACCCCCAAAAGGAGTTTGTTATATTTACTGCGGCTGTAATGATTTTACTCTGATTTAAACCTCTTTTATGTTCACTCACATGTTGACTCTTCCATGTTTGTCAGTGGTAAACCAAATAAATCAAATCTGTCAATGCAGTGCCAGGGAAATGTGGATGTTGTGTTGGCAGCGGAGCGCCACCAAAACATCGTGTGCTTATGTCAGTCTTCAGCGAACGTGATTAATAGTAGATTCCATTTGATCTTAGCTTTGGTGTTATGCGTGAATAGGTGTTCTGTTGTGCAAATATGTGGTCCACTTCATATCTTAGCTTATCCTCCAAATTAAACCGAATGGTTGGAAATAAAAGAATGATGTGCAGAAACACAGTGACCTGAACTTTCTTTTTCGTGTGTGTGTGTGTGTGTGTGTGTGTGTGTGTGTGTGTGTGTGCGCGCGTCCCCTCAGATGTGGATGTGAGCCTTTCCTGCAGCTGTTTAAAATGTCCCCCTGCGTTGATGAGTTCGGCTCAAATTCGTGACATTATTCCATTTGTCAGCAAAGTTCTTTGATTTGTGTTACAATTTGCACCAAACTCCTTTGCTCCTGCTCCAAGTCTAATGACAATGGGACTTGCATGTGTATGGAATTATATCAAGACAGTGGTTCCAATAAAGAGAGTCTCATGTCGGTGTACACGCTTGTTATCAGAAGACTGAGCTTGGGTTTAATTGCACTTCTCACTGCTACGGATAGTTAGTTTTATGCCTTCTTTGTGTGGTCCCTTCATTAGGGAAAAGACGTAAAAGCTCTTGTGTACTTGGCTACATAATATTTCTCAGGCTTTTGGTGTAAAAACAAGAAATGCTAAAGCAAAAACAAAGGCAAATGAACTGTAAAGGAGCGTGATTGGCTACCGAAATGTAGCCCCATTAAGCCTGTGAACAGTTAGGGAATACTGAGAGAAACTGAAGTGGTTTGCCTTGGTTTGGTCATTTTAATAGCTGTATTGTTTGCCCACGGAAAAAAAAAAAAAGAAACATTCAGTAATAGACGAGTTAATCCCTACAGCATATTTTCCCCTTAAACTTGGTATAGAAGGACCGCAGCCTGTAGTAATTTCACCCAAAACAAACAATCTACAAACAACAAACTGAACAATATGTTTGACCACATACCCCCACTGGTATCTAGCCATTTACTTGGATACTCTTGGGTTAATTTGCTAAGGTTTTGGGTCTTTTGGGCCACCCAGTAATTACAAAGAAAGTGAGCGGAATTTAGCTTCGGCTTGCAAAACAATAACACATGTTTTTAAACTTACTTTTCAGAAATATGAATTTGCTGTATTTCAATCAAAATCCAGCTAGAATTCTTTATTCAGAAAGTTGAATTAACAACTGGAGGAACCAGAGAAATAAGCGACACAAAGTGGGTGGGTGACATGTTAAACTAATCTCAACTCTGAGGTGACTAGCAATGGGAAATGCTGCTGATTAGCTCATGAGAGGGTGGAAAATATGCAAGAGGCTTACCTACCAACCAGACACTGGCATGTACATTAGCAAGAAGCTGTAACACAGCGAATAAACACAACTCCTGGGCTTCAGTTCGCTCTTTCCTAGGTCCTGTATTTGGTCCAAACGAAACTTTGTTGAACAGCTTAAATCAATAATTTTGCAAAGTAATTGAAGACCCAGCTGCAGATTAGAAAGAACAGACCTACCACCTTTGCAGGGGTGGATCAGGTGTTCTTGTTATCAGGGGTCTCTGCAAAGACCCCTGGATGTAACGTGAAATTCATTTGGCTTGACTGTTTTAGCTTGCTGCAGCCGTGACTTTTGGAAAGGTATAGGAAAGGTATCGCAATACTTTGAGCAAAAAACTAGCAGCTTTAACGCTTTTAAACAGTGATGCCATGTGCACCACAGCACTCTGTAGACATTCAGAGGGTGATGACATGTGGGAGACACAAAATCTTTACAAGAAAATATATGCCATGTTAAATTAAAAATAAAGGGTGGAGATAACAGATTAGTTTACCATCTCAAGATGTTCCAGTGGCCCAGTAAAAAGAGGTATAACATGAGTTCGGATGCTGACAGGATCAGTGCTGCCAAGGGAACCGCATGCCCAATGGGTACTCTCTGACTCTGGCCTGATGTGCGCCTTTCTAAAGAAGAAAATAACGACCCTGCAGATGCAATTAAGGGAATTGTGTTTACACTGCAGCCATATGTGCATGTGCTTTATATTGCTTGATGTCACTTAGGCAAATACATCAAAGTCAAATAACAAAAGGCAGCATTTTCTGTTTATTTTTTCATAAAATGTGTTTTAAGAACTTGCGAGCACTTTTAATGTGCTTTTAACATAACTGAAGTAAGTGGGTATTTAACCTGCAACTGAACTGGCATCAGCATAGCTCAAACTGCACCAGGGAGCATTTCAATTAAACACGTCGCCTCACCAATGGAAGTTATGTGAGGCATGGTTTTTAGATCGGGCTGTCCACGGCAATCATTCAAAATTCTGCTGCCAGGAAGTCACGCAACATAACAGGTTCTTTCATAAACTGGGTAGACAGATATTTGGACATAACATCTTCTCTCTCTATCCAGGTGTACCCTTGCAGCAATGACAAGGAGTGCAGCGTGGGCAGCTACTGCCACAGCCCTCAACAGGCTCCTTCTCGTTGCCTCACCTGTCGCAGGAGGAAGAAGCGCTGTCATCGAGATGCTATGTGCTGCCCTGGCAACCGCTGCAGTAACTGTACGAATACACACACACACACACACACACACACACACACACACACACACACACACACACACACACACACACACACACGTGCATGATTGTAGCGCATTTCAGTTTCAATTACGTTATGACTGCAGGGCACTATCGTGAAAATTCGATTTCTGGTTTTATTCAAATGTTCTTGAAAAGGCGGGTCTTAGTTATAGAGCCAATCTATTTAAATAATGTTGAACACATGCTTTCAGACAGAACCCTGAACTATAGCTGAACTGTATTCAATTGAGGCCCAGAGGTTAAGAATCAGTGGTCACATGTTTTAGTGTGAATAGCGTGAATGTGTGCAGAGGCTGCGCTGAAACTGCTCTTTGTTTAAAATCAACATAGCTCACTAACACATATAGGAGTTCTTTGCATTATGCACTGAAAGCATCCATTTAAGAGACCTTTCACAGAGGCTAATGTGCTCAGCTTTAACAGTCTGTGCCATGTTTTCCTGAAAAACAAAGCAGCATTGGCGTTTTCGTTAACTATATATGTTTCTCCTGTTTTTACAGTCATTTGTGTCCCCATCTCTGAGAGCGTGATCTCGCCTCACATCTCACCATTAGATGAACATATCAAGCTCTCCTCCAAAGACCACGGCTGGAAGGGTGGGAAGAATGGAAAGGGACAGGCCAAGCATTCTCTAAAAGGTGAGATCTGACAGCAAAGCATGTCCAGTATGAACCGAGTGATATCAAGACATTATCTTTTATCATCATTACTTTCCCTCTAATGTTAGATTTGCTCTGTCCCTTTCCTATCCTGGTCTGGCTGAATTGTTTTCTTGTCAACTTTAAGAAACCCCTAAAGTACTCATGGGTATTGCAGTGCACCAAAATATGCCCCTCATTTCCCCTCTGCCCATGTGTCTGTGTCTCAATCTAAGCGTGGAGATCCCAGAAGGAAAGAAAAAACACAATGCCTTTGCTGTTTCTGCACTTACTTAAATCCATACAAACAGTCTCATTGATAGGACACCTTCCATGATACACCAGTTTTATCCACAAAATGCAACTTTGGCATAATTAAGGCAAATAACTCACAGAGACCTGTTCTTAGCAGTCATGTCACCTGATTTAAGCCAAGTAATGGACTATCAATATAGTAATCTGTTTAATAAGACACTTAAATTACTACACTATAAATACGCCCTCAAGGCTCCAATGCTAAAATGATCGTGGAAATAAGAGCACTACTTAAATCTGCCATAAATGAGGCCATTTGGTTTTACTTGTACTTGACTCACCCGCTCTCCTTACACATTATTACATTATAATAGGCTGGTGCAGGTTGCCACTTGAATAAACTCAACCCAGAAACTCAGTGATGTTAAACCAGTGGAAAACAGTCTGCTTTTCGCTGTTGACCTGCAATTTAAAAACAGTATTAAACATTAATATGTGAACATGCTTTTTTTTTGGTTTATGTTTTTCCAAGTGCAAATATGCCAGTTTAATGCAAAGTTTGCATTTTATTGTTTGTCGGTTTATCACTGGTCATATATTTTTATTGCTTTCTTCCTCTAGGTCACGAGGGTGACCCATGCTTGCGTTCTTCCGATTGCTCGGACGGCTACTGCTGCGCCCGCCATTTCTGGACAAAAATCTGCAAACCGGTGCTGAGGCAGGGAGAAGTGTGCACCAAGCAGAGGAAGAAAGGCACTCACGGCTTGGAACTCTTCCAGCGCTGTGACTGTGCCAAGGGCCTCTCCTGCAAGGTGTGGAAAGACGCCACCTCTTCGTCCAAGTCCAGACTCCACATGTGCCAGAAGATCTGAAGCAGAAGGCAGCTGTTGTCGGCTTAAAGGCCTCCGTCTCCATGTGTGAGGGGATTTTTTTTTTAAGGATGGGTTGTGGCGGTACTGAAAAGAAGGAAAAGACAGAGACTGACAAGAGACAGAACAGATGCGGCTTCAGGCTCGCTATTCTGCAAACGGAGGGCAAATGGGAATGCTTTAATGTGTTCTCTGTGAGTGGTCCATCCCTGCACCCCACATAACAACCACGCACCCTCACACACACGCACACACACAAACACACACAAACACACTCACGGTTTTGAGAGATTAGTGAGCTTATAGGATGCTGTGACCAGGAGATATTTTATTTTGTATTCTTATGATCACAGTTATAATCAGAAGTATCAATCATTAATCATTTACCATTGTTGAACCAGTTGACAGAATAATCTTTGAACCCCAAAGAAAAACCAACATTTTACACATTCTTGTGAATATCAGGGAACCGCAGAGTTTGTCAGCTGATGCTGTGATAGGTGTGGACTTTTTGTAGATAGCAGCAACAGTCATAGCAGTCTTTCCTTAAACCTCCAGCTTATGATATTCGAAGCCGAAGGACTATTAACACAAAAGCCATATTTTTACTGAATAGTACATGCTCTACCAAACTCTGAAGTCAGTTAGCTTTAAATAATGTCGCATGTGACACTCATAGGATCAGAATTTTGGCATGTTATACTGTCTGTTTGCCAACTTTAGTACTTATTTTAAGATCGAACCCAGCTTTTGCTACGCAAAGCATTTACAACCAGCAACAATGTCCAAAGAACAAATATACATTCCCTGATGTGTGTGTGTGCCTCTTACACCAAAGACAGAAAGAACATTTGCTTTGGAATGATGAGTTTCGTCTGGGGCATTCGCTTGTCACCCTATTTTTAGCCACAAGAAGAGAGATAAAGTATTGTATTCATTGTGGGAATCTTGTTTGATGTAGGATACAGCTGTAATCTATTGTGATACAACTGTGCGGGTTAAAACTGTTTGCACTGAGGTAGTCCTTTGCTGCAGACTTGGTGGTTTCAATACCGGAATGGTTCTGCTTTTCAAATCATACAAACGGGATTCAGGGATATGTTGGAATCGCAATTTTTCCCTTTAGAAAGCAAAATCTCCACAAATCTGATGTTTTTAAAGAGAACTGCAGTTAAAACGAATGGCTTGTTGATGGCACACAGCCCTCTTTAGTTTTCTGCTTTTAAAATACGACTGGATACTTTCTTTTGATGAAATATTGAGTTTTATGGTGTAATGGATGTGAAGCAATGCTTTTTCTCCCCTGGTGTCAGTGCTTTAAATAACCACTCATTACCTACAAATCAATATAACATTTGCCTCCTTTCGCTTTAAGACATTTTTTAGAGCATCAAGTACATATATTTTGTAACCATTAAAATACCAATAAGCTCTAATATTGTAAATAGACTGGAAGCAAAGCAAATGTATTTAAGAACCAATGTATATCATGTACATATAATAACAAAGGAATCCTAAAAGTTATAGCAAAATGATCTAGGTGAGAAGAGTAATGTCAGAAGAAACAAGCACAGTTGGATAGACTGAAATCGATTAAAGTTGTGGGTGTAGATAAGGGGTAAAGGCTTAGATAGCATGGACTGATATCACAAACTGAATGCATCAAAAGGATGGTTCCTAAAATAGGGAGCATCAAAATCCAAAATGTGTTGTGTAAATTGTGTGTAAATGGTTTCAAGATTTGCATCCAACGAAATGATGTTTCTGTGAATTCACTGCATTGATCTGTTTCATGTATTTACAAAGATGAATTAATAAAAGAATGTATTTTGTATTCCTAGTACACGGGCCTTGTTTTTGCTTATCGTGTTGCTTCTTATGCTGAATTCTTACAATGACAACAGGAAATTAAACACCGTATAATGCATTTTGATAGCTAAAAAAAAACCCTTTCCCTGAGGGGTTGGGACAGCCAACGGATATTTGATCTGGCAAAGATGCTGAATGCACTTCCTGACATGACCCTCAAATTTATTCAGGCTTTGCCCCTGAAAATCTTACTTTAGATATTAAAGGTGTGGACATTATTTTATTTGTTATAAATAAAAGTTATATGTGTGTTAAATAAATGGTCTTTCAAATATCTTCATGCATAAACCTTTGAAATGTTTGCTTTGTTACACTGATAGCAATCTTTGGATGGGGTGAGTTTTGGCATGTCGTCACCTCTTATATAATTTGAAACCAACCTATTACAAATGCAAACAAAAAAAATAAGTTTTAAGTCTTATCAATTTAATAGTGACTACCAAGATATACCGAAAATAAAAACTAATCTAGGAAATTAAAAAAGGAAAATTATTTATTGGTGCAAAACTAGAACATAACCAAAACACAGTTGCAGAAATTGCTTGCTAAACTGTTACAGCTTTACAGTAAGATGATATATTTCTTTACAACGTTTTAATTGAATTAGAAGACTATATTTAAGGCTTTAAAAATATTTTCAATATGAAAAAAGTTTATTTACAGTTATCTGAAAAAGAAAGTTTTCACAGGACTTGCAGTCATCTTAAAAACAAAGAAACAAAAAATAACGACAGCTGATAATCAAATGTACTTTATTAATTGATCTTTATTAATTGATCATCAGCAAGTTTGGACACCTCTATGAATTCATATGTTTTGGCATTTTGCTAGCTTGTAGCATTCAGAACAGCAAATACAATGTCATGGCTTTCTTAGGAGAGGAAATCCCAGCTGATGAGAAGTAGCTTTAATTCTTAGAGCATACTCCAGGAATTAAAGGTGCTGCGCTCCAGTAGTTTAAATGATATCTAACAGACTCCAGTTTGTTCATGTAAATGGAGAGTCGTCTTCATACACTAAGGTACTTATGGAGTTCCACAGGGTTCCATACTAGGACCAAATCTGTTTACATTATACATGCTTCCCTTGGGCATTAACTTTCAAAAACATAGCATAGCATTTTACTGCTATGCAGACCATACCTAGTCGCATCTATCAATGAAGCCAGACGACACTCATCAATTAGTTAAACAGCAGGAATGTCTTAAAGACATAAAAACCTGGATGACCTCTAATTTCTGGCTTAAAAATTTAGATGAAACTGAAGATGTATTTGACCCTAAAATCTTAGAAATGTGATGTCCAACCAGATACTTACTTTAAATGGCATTACCAGATTCCCCACACGAACACTGTAGGGAATCTTGGAGTCTTTCTTGACCAGGATACAAGTTAAAAAGAATATGTAGGACTGCTTTCTTGCATTTGCACAACATCTCTAAAATGAGAAATATCCTGTCTCAAAGTAACTCTGAAAAACTGGTTCACACATTTATTACTTATAAGCTGGACTATTATCACTTTGTCCTAAATGCTGCATACTGACAGTTTGGATTTGTGAGACAGACACCCTCTCTATTTTCAAGATTAGTCTTAACACTTTCCTTTTTGAGAAAGCATATAGTTAGGAGCTGGATTGGCCCCTAACTAAACAGTCCCCTAATTATACTGCATTAGGTCTAGGCTGCTGGGGGTTTGCCATGATGCACAGAGTATTTCTTCTTCCTTTACCTGTTTTCACTCTGTATGTTTTATACACCACTTGGTTTAATCAATAGTTATTATTAATTTCTGGCTGTCTTCCTCGGCATGTCTTTGTCCTGTCTTCCTCCCTTCACCCCCAACAGGTCACAGCAGATGGCAGCTGCCTCTCCTTGAGCCTTGGTTCTGCCAGAGGTTTCATCCTGTTAAAAGGAAGTTTTTCCTTCCCACTGTCCCCCAGTGTTTGCTCAAAGCGGGTCTTTTGATTGTTGGGGGTTTCTCTGTATTATTTTAGGGGTTTTTTGTTTTTGTTTTTTTAACCTTACAAAGGGATTTAAGATGACTGTCTTTGTGATCTGGTGCTATATAAATACACTTGAATTGTATGTAAATAAATTGAAAGGTCAGACCTATTCAATACCATCTATACATCCATCCGTTAAAAACAATAAAAAGATCTGGAATGGGTTGCCGGCAAGAATTCTCTTCTCCCTAAAAGTAATGTAGCAGAACAACTTTAGTTTGCAATAGTTGCTTCTGACCAAACCACAAGACTTCTGGAACAATATCCTGTGGGCGAACAAAACCAAAGTTGAGATGTTTGACCATAATGCACAGCGCCATGTTTGGTGAAAGCAAAACAAAGCATATCAGCACAAACACCTTATACCAACTGTCAACCATTGTGGTGGAGAGGTCATAATTTGGGCTTGTTTTGTAGCCACAAGATCTGGGCACCTTGCAGTCATTGTCTTGATCATGAGCTCTTCTGTATTCAAAAGGTTTCTAGAGTCAAATGTGAGGCCATTTGATATATAAAGCTTGGTTGAATTAAGGCTGTGCAATAGTGATCCAAATCACAGCAGCAAATCTACAACAGAATGGCTGAAAAACAAAGAATCAAGGTGTTGCAATGACCTGGTCAAAGTCAAAACCACAGTCTGAGTGAAATGAATGAATAAATAAATGCCCACAAACCTCAGTGAAGTGAAGCAATGTTATAAAATGAAGAATTGGTCAAAATTCCTCCATAACAAACTGAAAGACTGATAAACTAGTTATTGAAGTTAAAGGTGGTTCTAAAAACTATTGTATCACAGGGTGTACTTACTTTCTGACATGATGGGATAGCGTGTTAGGAAGACTTTCTGTGAACGTGCTATGAAAGTGACTACAGTTGTCTTTTATGAGTAAAACCTGTCCTGTACAAGCACCACTGTGCTTTTTTCAGAAGTACAAATAAGACTTCTTAAAAGCCATTATAGGCTGATGCTTTGCAGATGTTAACTCTAGACAAAAGTCTTTGATATGCTCAAAGAAATACAGTAAAAATGCGCAGCATATGTTTGATTACATCAAGCCAACATCTTTATAGCATGTTCTGTGTACACAAGGGTTAAAAAGAGATATAGAAAATAATACTGACATTTCTAGATGCGATCACTGTTTTTACCACTTCAAAGTGCCAACATGTGATGAAAGCTCTTTAAGAGGCTACTTTGAAACAATACTCACAATTTCGAGAACATAATTGTACAATCCTTTTTGACCGTTCCCAAGCAACATGTTTTTTCCATCATCTCTAACAGGAGATGTAGACTTTGCAAAACTTCAAATGCAGCAGCATCATTTTGGAGCTATTGTTCTTTTCCGTATGCCTCATTAAGTCTAAAATGCACTTCTACTTACTAGCCAGGGGACTTTTTTCATTTTTCAAAATGACTTACAAAAATGTT